ACATTCATAAATGATAATGACAATGAACTCTCTAAGCTGCCACTGCTGGCTGAGAAAGCTGGAATGAAGGAATACACGGTGGGAGACATTCTTCAAGAAGTAAAACGGTACTTTGTTCAACAACAAATAGGCACATGTGTGGAAAATGGACCCTCATGTGGACTTCTGGACTGGTTGCTTGCTAATTTGTAAGAAACCAAGTGCTCCCCTCTCTGTTCATCTTGCCTCCTCTACCAAGCCCCCCAGGTGCCCAGATCATGCTTTTACAGGAGCAGCACATACCATCATTACAGCACCACTGAAAGCAACAATGCACTGACCTCAATTTGTCGCTACAATAGTAGCCAGGCAAGATCATCCATTAAAAAAAAGTAAAAAAAAACCAGATGGAGAGTCAATGCTGTTTTATTACAACTGTGTAACAACTTCTGGTATACATAATTATACTAAACCTAACAGCTACAACTGAGGGGAACTGATTTATCTGACAGTTTTCTACTGAATAGGAAAGCACACCCAGGAACCATCATTTTAAGGTATACACAGAAAATGTAAGAAACAAATCCTTATGCTTATGCAGTGTTTTCTGGGGGGAAAGAACCTACAATTGGATGAATTCAATTCCTGCCATTTTCATTTTTTTAAAGTCTTTAGAAACACAAAGGGGTCATAACAAAAAAATCTGGGATAAAGTTCCTCTCACCGTTTTTCTCCTTTGTGTTTTGCCTCTTCACTGTTATCGCTGAACAGGGGCTAAACAACCTGCTGCTAAGCTAAATAGGCCAGGCCCTGAATAGTACTTGGATGGGAGACTGCTATTGAACACCAGATGCTGTAGGCTACAGAAAACAACTAAGTTTTCTGTAGCCTACAGTAAAAAAACCTCTGATTGATCTCACCCACACGTTGGCAAAAAAAGAGAATCCCAAAGTCAAGTTTCTTTCACAAACAATTGTAAACAACTCCCATAGTTTTATGCCACACATTCTGGTTAAATAAATCACTGTGAAAATGTATCCCAGCAGAACTTTAGAATCACTATAAATAGATATAAAACTCAGATCAACACTTTTAAATTTCCTGAGGAAGAACAGTCATCGAATTACATTTAGCCATTGTTAGCATGTAGATGTCTTTGCATGTCTGTTTTTGATTAAATCATACACAAATTAATTTCTTCTGTTCCATTCAAAATCTTTCCCAAATGTTTGCTGGTGTTGCAGATGAACTGCTTTGGCAATGTTTTCAAAGTGGAAAGGAATAAAAATAAAATTTGCTCCCCAATGAATAATTAAAATGAAATATGCTTCAGGCTTAACCTCTACTAATATTGTAATGTGGCACTGATGATCTCTTGCACATGGAGTCAATGATTACAGCTATAACACCTGTACTTCAGCAACAATTTGAAAATAAAATCTATATACAAAATAAATTACAGAAATTGATTGAGGAATCTCATCTAGAGAGTGAATAGGTTGTTCAAAGAGCTAAATCCAGTGTCAGTCCCAGCTATAGATGACCCAGGGAAATCAACTTGACATAAATAGTCCTCATAAAGCTGATTCAGTTCAGTGATCCTAATCTAGTGGAGTCTATCACTGGGATTTGACTTAAAACTCTTGTTTGTTCATATTTGGGACAGCAAAGTGCAAATAAATAAAAAAGTTAATTTTTTCAGGAATTAAACTTGTTTATGTGTTATGTCTTCATTTATAAAATGTCCATAATATTAATAAGTAGTAAGCACAAGGACTAAACATTAGAAATGATGGTAAAAATTGCGCCCAGCAGACAGAAGCTTGTATTCAAGTTTCCCTTTGCACAAAATGATTTTTTTTTATAAGAGCAGCAACTCTAAATCACAATACAAACCAGAGCTGGTCAGCCCACAACCCACAGACCACATCTAATATTTCTCTGCTCAGTTCTTTTTGTGCCCCTCCTCCCTATAAACATCCAGATCTACCTTGATTATAACCACCACCATTGAATAATAAAAAAAACCCTTCAAAATGGAAAGAATCATATTTCTAGAAGATTCTGTGAATGAGAACTCTTTTCCACATAACCTTTGCTTTAGCAATATTGAAATATCACCACCCCTTTAATACCAGAAGTATGCTCCTCTTTATTTCTAAACTGCTGTTGTTTTCAGCCAGGGTAAGGATGAAGACATGCTTAGAGGATCCACTGAAATTGCCACTCCACTTTATGTAGACAATAAGATCACTACAACTCTAAGGGAAACGGTAGATTTGTGTCCCACTCTGGATACACCAGTACTTTAAACTGTACAAACCTGAGTATCTAAAGCAGGAGACATCCGAGTACCTCTCTAGTTGCTTGCCTACTATGGTAGAAAATGGGCCTTGTATAGGAAGTTTAGGTCATCATGCAATCACAGTAACAGCTCTGTATATCAACCATATTGTTCCTTAACCACTGGTAGGAAAGGCAGTTGTGACCACAAGCGGGATAACTGATTACTTCAACTCCTCTTCAACTGTAATATAGGCAAGGCTGAATAGTGGTGCTGACCCTTTGATGGTGGCATTAAGGATGAATGATGAAAAACACTTTTAAAAAAATGGCAGACCCTTCAGATTTGTCTTTGTTTTCTTTGAAATACGAACCAGGAAGAGGGGGTTAGGCAGGAAAAAAGAAGTGGTCACAGCTGCCAATTTCTGATTTGAATGACAGAGCTCTGCAGCTTTCCATATTTTAGCACAATCTTAATGGAAAAATAGGATTGCAGCCAATTTGTCTTGCTCACTTATGTACTCCACATAGAAGGAAGGAGGAGGGAATTAAACATATCAAGGTCACTTCAAAACTGCCCAGACTGCAGGAAGCAATAAGACAAGACATTCCAGCAAATAAAGTATTCACCAAAACTAAAGTTGAAAGTAGCAGCTAGTAATGAGAGGGCAGTGAAATAGGCCACAACGCAGACAACCTCACTGTGATGCAATTATCATATTAAGAGCTTTTCTCTTTTAATAACAATGCTAACTTTCACCTTCCTATTGATTTTGTTTCAGAAAAAATACCTCTGCATTTTAAACAAACAAATGTATAAACCCACAATTAGTAAAGCAACAGTTAAGCCTAGTGAGAGAGTCACAGCATAACAACATGAAAACAAACAAGGCCTGATTCCATCAAAAAAAATTATTTTATGGAGAAATTTATATAGAGAGAAATAAATATGTCTGTGTAATTGATCACAGGAATAGGAAGCATATACAAATGCAGAAATGTTTTCCACAGCCTGTTGGGTGAACACGTTGGTCAAGTTTGTGAACCAATCCTCAGGCCTTATAGACATGCTGATTGTGTAATGCAGGTTGAATTTGGCAAACTTCTCAGAATTCTCTTATAGAGAGAAGTGATCTTGTAATGGGGGGGGGGGGGCAGGAGGCACGTACTAAAGTTCTCTAGCAGAGGATTGTAAATTCCTCACAAAATGACAAATGCCAGGATTCTAGATGATGAAATCATTACTAGTATCCAACTGTTTTAACTTTTCAGTATAGATAACACTTTCTGATTCCATCGTCGTTACCACTTCACCAGCAGTGAAACGCTGAAGCTCTGATATGAAGAACATACAACCAAGCTCTAGTTGCTTAACAGGCACATCCTCCTACTAATTTTAACACTGACAGTAGCACCTATGAGAAACGGCTGGATGTCAGTTCTAACACCCAAGGAGCTTTTATGAATCTCATAAGAAACACAATGAATCTTGTAGAAGCACATGAATATAGGCAGTCTCCAAGTTACAAACATCCAACTTGACTCATAGTTAAGAATAGAAGTGAAACAACAGAGTGAGATAAATTTACTCCTAGGAAGGGATATTCACTCTTGGAAGAGTTATCATGGGGAAAGGGTACTTCAGCTGAAGCTTTATCACCAATCCTTGTTTCCCCAAGGACTCAAAGTGTTCAAAATCCAATGATCTCAAGGACAGAAAGTGAAGTGAAATCTTCTAAACAGAGGCACAGACAGCAAAACAAACACTATTTGGGGACTGTATTGTCGAAGCCTTTCATGACCGGAATCACTGGGTTATTGTAGGTTTTTTCGGGCTATATGGCCATGGTCTAGAGGCATTCTCTCCTGACGTTTCGCCTGCATCTATGGCAAGCATCCTCAGAGGTAGTGAGGTATTTGGGGACTGCTTGTACTGAGTTACTATAAATTCCAATTCTTCATATTTGCTAAAATAGCCTTGCTGAAGAGGTGGTATGGTTATACTGTCATCCTGTGGTACTGTAGTCTTAACTTTTCTGGTCTTCAATACTAAAGATTCTGATACCCGAAGGGAAAAATCAGAGATAGTTGATGGCACAGCCAGACTTAGTAATGATTACTTTCCCCCCATAGACACAGCTCTCACCATAGCTCTTGATATTTAAAACCATTGTTTGGAGATTTGGGGGAGATGAAACGCTGACTATTTTACTTATTAAAAGAAGAATCCTGCCAGCATGGATTTGTCTTCCTGGATAAGCAGCTGACCAGACTGATGATATTGCTTCAGAAACCAGATGTATCATAAAGACACTAGATTAAACTATCTTCTTTACCAAGGAAAGCAAGGCCAAAATTCACCCCAGAAACCTTTATATAGTATTACATCTGAAATCTTACACCTGGGTTATTTTGGTCTCTAGCACACTTCCCTACTTCTCCTTCGTAAAAACAGAAACCTGACTTAACTTTAAAAGGCATATTTCAATTTTAAGAACGTTATGCCTTTGTCTGAGGAACTGACTAGAAAGCAGTGGTTCTTCCATTTAAGCTACCTCATAAATGAAAAATTCTGGGGGAAGGTCAAGATCTTTTTTAGAAAGTTCAAGCTTTCCTAGAGGGATTGAATATATCAGTTGGACTGCACCAAAGCCACAATATGAAAGACACATGCAGAGCACACAAGTTTTTGAAAAGAAAAATACTGTATATTGGTAGGCATGCTGAAACTGACTTACAGGTACAGATAAGTTATGTGGGCTGAAGCTGCTCCCAGAAAAGGAATAGCTGTCAGTTCATTGTTATTCAGTCTCCTGGAAGAAACAAAAAACAAAACAAAAATCACTTTAGAAATGGTGAACTTAAAAAACAGGTATAGAAATTCGACAAGTCTACTATTGTTTTGTTAGAAGAACAACATCATTATTAACAACCTGACTTGCCTAGAAGTCTGATAATTGGGGGAGAAAGTATCTGTACAGTACTTCCTGTATCTCTACAACTTTCCAGCCAAGTCTCTGCCAGGAACACTTGTAAAAGAAACACAGCTGCACATTCCATGCCTACTTTAGTTATTGCTAACACATATTTATGGAACAGCAGAATAACTCCAAATCATCATCAAGGGTGGTGAAACTACAGACACACATTCAATTTCCAGAGAGGACTCACTACAACACCTGACCCAGTCTTACACATGCCAATGTCCTGTTCCCCACTCCCTTTTATTTTGGACAAGTTGTATAGCTGAAGGCAGCTCACTGGTGTGCTTAAATGCTAAGCAGGAACTGGTAAGAGCAGTACTTACAGCCAATGCACAGACAAGTGACTGACAAGTATTGGGATTATTCAAAATACACGCCTTTTAAAACAAAACTCTAAATGCTATTGGATTTCTATTTAGAGAATTAAGTCTTGGGTTTGATTATTGTACTAAAGATCTGTCCCAGGGTCAGTTGGGCTAGTGAAAGAGATGACAGACATAGTCTAACTTCTGCAATAGTAAGAAAATAGCACGGCTGGCCCAAGGCTTCCTTGAGGAAGGAAAGGGCTCACAAGGTTCATGGAAAGATGAAAGATGAAAGCATGAACTGATTCTGGTTGGGTGGGAGCACAGGGATGGGACTGTACAATCGGCCTTCATTTCAATAAAAAAAGAAGCTGGCAGAGTTATATACAGTATCTCTCTTACAGTGTCCTGTACATATGCAATTTGATCCCAGACACTGGCTTCAGCATCCAAAGAATCAGAGCTTTCACATTTGAAGTACTCATCACTGGCTATATAATCCTCACAACCCACTTTTTGAAAGCCCCACGGATATAGGGGAGATAGAAGCACATGTTTGTTACTTCTGACTAGGCATGCACAGAATTTCACAACATGCATCTGTTCCCTCCTACTGGTTTTTTGAAAGACTTGCATTTAATGAATTAATTACAGGGTAACAGGCTTTCCATTCCCTGCCCCAAACCAGCTGCTGCTCAGCTGTACCGTAGGCTGGAAGAGTCCAAAACAACCCTGGGAACATTCCAGAGTACAGAGGGCTGCACTGCAGCATTTTGGGCTCCTGCAAAGCTCTGGAGAGCCACATCTATCTATTGTCACTGCCATTTCAGATCAATGGAAGTGATGTTGTGTCACACCCAGTCATATGGGGAAGAGATTTTTACATTTTAGTAGCTCCCACTCTAGTACAACACTCTTTTGCCAACATTTAGCATTCAGAAACATACATTAAGTGTTTATTCAGTTGAAAGTCCTTTGACTGAAAAATATGTAGAGAGCATTGAGCATTTGGGAGGCCAATAAGAGTAGTTCTCCCAGGGTTGTACTGAACCCCCATATGATAATTTGCACACTGTATACTTCCCACCTCCATTCTTGAAGGATAACATCCTTTCCTTACCCACCACTTTATTCATCTATCATTTTCATATTCTCTTTAACCCCTTCCTTTACCCTTCTTCATCGCATTCTGTTCTGATCTTAGACTAAAGGGAGGACTAAAGGGATAGAATGACCATCAAAAAAGCCTGAGAAGTAAGTCATTTTGTGACCAACTGTACCCCACAGCACACTTTTTGTGTGATGCTCCACAACAGTTTTGCATAGTTCCACAGCACCACAAACCCTGAGATGTAAAAAAATATGTCCAAGAGAGAGAAAGAACTGTTTGGTTTCATGAGAATAGGGAGGAAGGGAGAGAGTAAGAAAGGGAGGGAGGCTGGAGTGAGTACAGTATGAAGAAAATGATGCATTTGCGTCTTCACTTTGAGCTTTGGGCTTCTACCATTGTGCCACAACTTTGTGCTTTTACCATTTTAAAGTTGATCTTTATTTTTTATTGTTCCATGCTTTGCTATTACACTAGCCAACACACATTTTGTTGTGCTTCCTTGCCACAACTTTGTGCTTCTACCATTTTAAAGTTGATCTTTCATTTTATTGTTTTATGTGAATGTATACATTGTTTGTTATTTATAAAGTACATGAAAACATATAACAAAATAGGAGGTAGGTTGGGGGGCCAGAACAGATTTTGATGGGAAAATTCACTTTGAGATAAAAGTATATTGAATTAAGAGTTCAGTCATGGAATGAATTAAAGTCAAGATATCACTCTACAGTATATCACTTGAAACTAATGACCCACCAAGTGCAGTACTAGCTCCCCAACCTGGAAATGGCTCTCTGGAATCTCAGGCAGAAGAAATCAGAAAGGGCTTTTTTAGCCAAAGTATGTATTCTACCACTGAGGTATAGCCTATTCTCCAAAAAGGAAGAAGGGGATATAATTGAAATATTTATTATTTTTATTGAATTTATATCTTGACTTTCTCCCAAAATAAGATTCAAGGTGGCTTATGATATTGTTTTAAAAATTAGCTGAAACATTCATTTTAAAATAATTAAATAATAGTATTATTTTGAAAACATGATTAAAATAGAACTTTTTCGCTTTAGGTTTATGTGTGTGCGTGCCCACAGTCCTTCACAGAGAACTGGATCTATATAGAACTACTGTGTCTTTATCTCTGACCTCATTCAAGTCAAGAGATCAAGTGTTGCTGATTAGTGGCTGGCCTAACTCCAAGCTGTTGTCCTGTTGCTGGTTTGGCGACAATACAAGAATGACACACAACATTGTGGCAAAGGACTTAACAGGAACCATTCTCAACCCTGTGCTAACAGCCTGTGTGACAGACACAGCCTCAAAGCTCAGTTTTGTGGGAAATTGCCCCTGCAACCACTGCACAGCAGTTGCCATTTTTGACTTAGAAAAAGAACAGAAACAACACTTCTGAGAAATAAGGGCATCAAATATTTCATATCTTAGCTAAAGGAGAGAGGGAATTATGGGGTCATGGGGAACCTTGTTTTATTGTTCATTTGCAGCATATAGATAAACTTTGCCTGACTGTTCTGACTGCAAACACAAGCATATAACAAACCATCCTCACTCCCTGCCATGATTATCATAACATGGTTTACCTGTCCGAACATTTCACCCTCTATGAGCCCGCTAGGAAGTTAAGATTGTCTAGGGAGGCCCTGCTCTCGATCCCGCCTCCTTTGCAGGTGCGATTGGTGGGGCTGAGAGACAGGGCCTTCTCAGTGGTGCCCACTTAGCTATGGAACTCCCTCCCTAATGAAATCAAATCAGCCTCCTCCCTCTTGACCTTCAGGAAAAGGCTAAAGATGTGGATGTGGGATCAAGCACTGAGTTGGTAACCCACTAGAGAATTATGGAATAGTGCAATGACAATTTGGAATGGCCATGGATTATGATTTTGGATAATGTGATTTTAATAAGTGTTTTAAGGTTTATTATGTTTTTAATTATAGTTTTAATATATTTATTTTATTATGTACGTATGTTTACATGGAATCGAGTCGTTGCCTATATATGTAAGCTGCCTTGAATCCCCTACGGGGTTGAGAAAGGCGGGTATAAATAGGGCAAATAAATAAATAGGAATCCAGCATTCTGGTTTGTTTCTCCCTCAACAAGCCAGGGAACTAAAGGAACAATAAATAGTAGGTTATTACTCCAGATTATCAGAGGACAGAAAGAAGACAGGGTTCTTGTTCAGATATCACATTAAGGAAATGAGCTCTGTGCTTTCTTTAGCTGCTCCTAACCTGCATATGAGCAACCAGAGCAGTAGGCACCAGCCTGCTACCTCATTTACGATATGCCTGAATTTCCATAAAACCCTGGCTCATTGCAACATCAAAACACATGCTACCAATATTTAATTTCCATTACTGAAAACAGAACTCTAAAAAAAAAAATCTGCATTCAAAGAAAGCCAAGCAAGGATTAAAGTGAGCAGCAAAAGAGTGGATATTTCAACAGGCAATTCTTTTCTAAGGAGAAAAATACAAGGAGGGGATGTTAATAAGGAAGCTTTACTACTTTCTGTCCCACTGCTATGCTATCAGGTTCAGGAGCACACTCTCTCTATTGCATAATGTCTGAATTCTGGCTCTGAGTGAAAACTGATCTGGGTCACATAGCATGCTTCCTTCTTGGTTTAAAGAGCCCTTGTTTGTATGTTGAATTAGTCAATTAATTACCATAATAACAGTTGCTTGTCTGGCAACTTGGAAACTGCCTAATTTCCTGGCCTTTTTGCTCGGCCTTCACCCTAACACTAGCAATTAAATGGGGGGCGGGAAAAGAGGAAATCAGGTCAAAGACTGCTACTTCCTGCTTCAGAATGTGAAAGTGATTCTAATTCAAATAAAGAAATTTAAAAGTCATTTATTTACTCTTGATGTTTTCAGAAGAGCATACTTTTAAAACTATTTATTTATTTAGATGGATTTAAGTTTTAGTTATTTATTTAGATTTAAATAAAACATACAAGAGGGGGAAAATCAACAAAATGTGTAAGGAAAATGCAACTAGTTACCCCTGATTTCTTTAAAATTACAGCAAATTACAATTCCCACAGGTTGTTTATTTATTTTGTCTACATCTAGCTTAAGTCCAACTTATTGCACTTGTATTGATATTGTTCACTGCTTTGAGTCGCCTGAGAAAAGCGGTATATAAATAAAGTAAATAAATAAACAAACGTAGAGACAACCCAATGAAATGAACAGATCTTGATGTTACAATGAATTTAAGTCCATTTATTTTATTTCAATGAGTTGCTCCTAGGACACAACTAACACAAAATTTATTCTTAAAAGAGAAATGTATATGCAATAACTTATAATTACATTTATCTAGTATAATACCTATCTACTTAGAAACATCAATCTAAAACAGGACGGATTCTACAAGAATTTCAGGTTTCA